GAAAGCATTGTCATGGTGAGCTGGAGGATTCTCAGATGGGGAGGTAGTAATTTTTCAGCTAACCAGCTTCAGATCTTCAAGAGATCAAATGCTGATGAAGACACTGAACAGCCATTAAAGTGCAAGAGTTACTTTTATGGTTTGTTTTCACCCCAGTCCTTTATGATGTGTTCAAAGTGTTTATTGTCTTTGGAGATGATGCACAAGGCTGTGTGCTGATTAGTGAAGGGTTTTGAATTCACCTAAAATCAGGGGGATTGTGACTCGTGATCTTCACATACCTGAGCCAGCACTGATTCCCAGTCCCTTACGGACATGAATGCATTCTTGAAAATAACACACATGACCTTTACTCATGACCTGTGTTACTCTGCAGTCATTTTTTCCTTATTTTTATTAGGTTTTCTAATCAAAAATTCTTTCCTGAATTCTTTCTTGAGAGGAAACACTGAGAGACTGGAGGGAGGCTCTTTGCTGATTGAATAGCCTGGCAGAGAAGCATCAATTATTGTAGAATCGAATCCATTCAGTGTATGTCCCACAGCTGGGATTCAAGTACTGCTGCAAGGTCAGGATAAATCTGTGAGGTGGCTGTTTGTGCAGGGTCCCTAAGCTGCCACTGCTGTGTGTCTGTCCTGAGACTCTGGCTGGCACTTTGTTACCACAGGTGGGACCTCAGGTAAGCCCTGGGGACAGCAGGTGACTGAGATCCCTTCTGAACCCTTCCTTCTCCCACATCCTTTGGTAACAAACACGGTATGGAGCCGTTCTGCTGTATTTTTTGCAAGAGTGGCAGGATGGCTCTTCATCCTGCTTTTCCACTTCTCTCTGGTTCCTTTGGATTATGAATTCACAGATGTTTCCACTTCTCTTGTCATATGTGACAGTTCTGAGCAGAGATTTCACCACACTGAGGTGGTTGGTACACAGAGGTTTCGTAGAGCCTGAGGCACTGATTTGGAGCAGCAGGTCTAAATGTTGTCCCAGACGGTCAGATCTTCCCAGAGGGAAAGGGGGTTTTGTTGATGGATCTGTCAGGAAAATATACAATGCACAGGAAGTGGGTTTTGCCTTGGGCATTCCTTCATAACCAGTAGAGAGGCAGAACCACATCTCCTTTTGCAAGATGCGTTTTTAAATAGTAATAAGTTTTTAGATCTATTTTCCTAAGAATATCTAAGATATTCTTGTCCGGTTTGTCATTTCCTGCCTGCAGTTTATTGTTCTTTCTTCATTATTTTATCATCTACAGGCTCCCCAGGGAACTGGCCGTGGCATCTCACCAAGCCTGTCAGAGTTCAAGGAGCATCTGGGTGATGCTCTTGGATGTGTGGTTTAGTTGTAGGCAGTCCTGGGGGACTCCATGACCCTTATGGGTTCCTTCCAACTCAAGATAGTCTCTGATTTTATTGAAAAAGCAGGTCTTTTGTGAAATTGCAGTACATAGAAACAAAGAGCATATCCTATAATTTTGGGGCAAGAATGAATGTGTTAGATTTATAAGTTTATATGGCATATTTTGCTGAGGAGTATAACAACTGAGTCAGTGATTTCCCCCCTCTTTGTTCCCCTACATGCTCATTAAAGTCTAAGCTGCTAATTTATTTGCCTTTTATTTGAACTTTTGAATGTTGTTCTCCACAGCTGAGTAATTTTCTTTACCTATTTTATGTAATGAATGTTAATCTAGAGAAAATGAACACATTTGGGTATTGCATTGCCATATGTGGCTTACAAGTGCTGCAGTGACTGGGATGGGGCTCTTTTCTTGGGTTTTATTCCTTCTGAAGAAAGGATTTGGAACTCTGTGGCTTGGGAAATAATCAGGCAACATGGTACAAGATAACACTGCATTCAAATTTCTAGAATGCAGAGTTCTAAGATGGTGTGGATACCAGTCTTCTGTTGCTGAACTGAAAACACATCATGCTGTTTATTTTTTGTTTCATTTCTTAAACGCTTTAATAACAGCTGGCCTCATTAGCTTATACAGAATTTGGATACTACAGTTTAAAATATTTTTTCAGTAGTTCCTCTTGTTTTTGCTCCTCCCTTTCTTACTCCCTGAGTGGAAACCTGGAGCTCTCCCTCCCCTCCCGTGCAAACCAGCCCAGGGGGATGGGGGAGCAGGAGAAATTCCCAGGTCTCTGGGAATTGAGGGCTCAGCTGAGCGTGCCAGAGGTGCGGCTGTGTTGGGGTTTCCTCTGCTTCTTTCCTGCTCTGCTGCTCGTTTGAGTCTTGAGCCGGCAATAAAAGGTAAATAAACAAAGATGCCATTCTTTTGTGTAAAAATGGAGCTGCTTTAATGAAACACTTTTTGAAACAGAAACATTCATCCCAGACTGATTATACAAAATGCTGTAAGGCTTTTGAACTCATTGGTAGTTGAGTCATATCTACAGCCTTTCCCTCAGTAATTAGTTCCCTTTATTTCACAACATTCCCACCTCTTATGTTCTTTGCCGTGAAAAAAAAAAAAAAAAGACAACACGGCTTTTTCAACATAATTGTTGAACAATTTAATTAAAACTTAACTGGAACATTGAGAAAAAGCCAGCAATATTCAAGGTGGTGTTTCCTCCCCATTGACCTGTACAATCTCCCTTCTCTGTTTCCTAATCTTATCATAAGTTGTGTGAGTCATTTTCAAATTAAAATCAAGTGTTGTGCCAGGCTATATTCCTGCTCTGACCTTTCATATAAACACATACATTTACAAGAAGTAAAAATGAAGTGTTGTAAAAATAATCTGCTGTAGATAATATATCAATGTTGCTACAGTAAAAACCTTGATAGGAAAATAGCATATTGAGGATGCCACACTGTAGTCAAGCCTTTTCATAATCTTTCTCAGTGCTGAATCTCAGGGAAAATAAAAACTCATTCTGAGAGGGGTTTTTGTAAAGCTTTGCTTGCCATATTTATTGATATGAGGGAGAAAAATAATCTTTGTACCACACATTGTGGTAAGTTTGCTCAGATTTATGCTCAGCCAGAAATCAAAGTTGACAGCCATTACTTGAGAAACACCTCCTGTGGGATATTTTATGGCAGGACAAATATAAAATGTGTTTGAAACTAATTATGGCACACAATTTGTATTACAGTCTGTTCATAAATATAAAAGAAAACATTTACTTGTACAAGGCACACAAAGAAGACAATCTGCTTGGGGTGAGTTGAGTTTAAGGTTTAGTTACTCTAAAACTAAAAGAGAAACAGAACTGTGTTGAGTTAAAAAGCAGAAAATATCTGTTTGCTGCAGAGTGCTGTTCAAAAGACACCATCACATCCAAATGGATTTGGAAACAAATTTAATACACTGGATGTGTGTTAAATAATACTCAGCCCTGTGCTTGGGTCAGACATTGTTAGTTATTGAGCTCTCATGGGCTTCTCCAGGAATTGTTTTGATTTGACATCAGGAAATAAGGCCTGGCTTTAAGTCTTTCTTTAAATTAGTAATATAGATGCACAGGACTGTTAGTAAACAGCACTGCCACTATTTTCACTGCAAAATCAATTCTTTTTGGAAGAAATGTAGCCATTTTATTCTTTTTATTTCATTTATGTAAGTAGCCATAGTAAATCTATGGTCCAGATGAGTAGTGTTTGGTGATTTTAGTTTTGTCTGTACAAATACATGGTGTTTTAATTTAGAATTGCAAATTAAAATAACAAAGCTGACTTACAGTGCTTGAAAAGTGAAATATTGACTTTTATATGTTATAGGACATATTTTTCTCAAAGAAACAATGGCATGCCCTCCTGTTGGCCTTGCACCATTTGCATTTTATTCTCAGAAGAGTGTTTTGAAACCTGTCCTTTAAATATGCATTTGTGCAATTGTCAAAATAAACTTTAAAAAGCTGAAAATCTGTCACAAAGATAATTTGGGGGAGGGGGGGGGAGGTTATCCAATACATCATATCTTAGTGTGTTCTAAGTTACGTGGAATGTGCTGAATTTCATGGCCAAACTACTACCTGGGTGAATTGAGTGGCATCAGAGATGTCTGTGCAAACCCTTGGAAAACCCTTGAGCAATAATGGGGTGGCTCTGACTGAGCCCCCAGGCTGGGAATGTCACCCTGGGGTTCACAGGAGCCAGTAAAGGATGTTTGTTAACCCTTTAAATAGACCTGATCCAACCAAATGAGACAGAACTGTCTAAAGCTCTGCCTGTGTTCTGAAGTCTCATATAGGGAACATGCGAGAGTAATTCTGGGCAAAATTGGAATGAAGTGAAAGAAATCCAATGTAGAAAATTGGAGAGAGCAAAATACACCAGAGATGGTGGCTGTTAGAGATTCCCATCCTGCAGGAGGGTTCTCCCCCAGTGTCTGGGACACAAGGAGTTGGACAACTGTCTGAACTTTGGCATTTACTGAAATAGTTTCTGAAGTTTCACCACTGTGAATTTAATTCCTTTTGTAAACTTAGATATGTGTGAGATTAGCTACTAGCTAATTTAGAAAAGTTAAGACACTAAAAATGTAAAAGGCAAAATGTGTCCTAACACTTCTCTAGTACAAGTTCATGAGTAGCCAAATTCACTATGACAGACTATGGTGGGTGTTCATGAATGAAAAATAAAGAAATATGGTCAAATATTTGAGAGCTTTCAGAAATCACTTGCTGTGTAGGTGCAGTATCTATTGCATAAATTAGAAACACGAGTTTCTAATGCCAAGGCTTTTAATAGTGCCAGAATGCAATGACCTGGTCACGTATTGAGAGAGGAATTACCAAGTGCTGCAGCTGCCCTGAGGGTGCACAAGTTTTCTGTTAATGTGACAGTTTCAGCCTATCATCATTTGTGTTGGTTCCATGAAATGCCGAAGCATCTGGCTTTTTTTTCAGCAAGGTGTGGCTAGTCCGTAGGAGTGCTGAGTTGGGAAGAGGATTTTGTTTATCAAGGCTGTTTCTTAGCTTAGTTATCAATGAATGTTACAACTCTGTAGATAAAAAAAAGCTGTGACATAAGCAATATACAAAATATGGAGCACAGATTGTTTTAATCCCAGAAGTGTTCAACTTGTTTCAACAGGTAAGGAAATATTTGTGATTTTTTTTAAATTGCACATTGTTATAATATTTTACATATACACTGTACAACAATTCTTTTGTGTCAAAGACTTTCATGCAGAAAAAATAGTTCTATAAAATATTCTGTGGTTCATTGGAAAGATCTGGAATACAACACGGGGTGCTCTTAATCTGTAGGTTATCAAACAGGGGACAAATTCTGGCAACTCTTTTGTTCTTGTACATTCATATTGGGAAAAGGGAACTTGTTATGCCTTGGAGGACACAGAGGAGCTTTCTCAGCTCGAGCCTCTGTGCAAAGCATAACAGCACAGAGTAGGTACCTCCAGGAGGTTTGTCCTTGTCCTACACCAGTGCCAGTCCCACAGCTCGGACTTTACTGGCAGGACAATTTGTGTTTCTAAGCGACAGATACATGAGACGATGGCAGTTCAGAGCTGTGAGTGGGCAGTGGTGGATGGAATGAGACCCCAAGGCTTTTTAGGAAGTGCTGCTTTTAAGGTTCACTTATGTCAATGAACTCCTTCTCGGGGGGGGGCCCACCTCGGTACCAGCTGCAGGTGCCGTCGCTCCTCTTGATGCAGGCATAGTGCTTGGCTTGGTGCCCGTAGAGCTTCCTCTCGATCAGCCAGTCTGTCCACAGGCACTCGTTGGGGGCAGTGATGGAGCAGGGCACCATGTAGCATGTGGTTATCTGTGGGAAACAGCGCATTGCTTCAGCACCTGGCAGGTTTCCTTAAAATGCTGTTTGTAAGAGAACAGTTCCCACCGCTGGAAGCTGCTGGTGCCTGCCAGGTGGCTCCAGCACAGCCACTGGTCTGTTCTGTACTCACCTTGCAGCCACAGCCCATTTGATATCTCTGATTCAGACTCTTCTTTTGAGACAAGGATAAATCATCCCACGGTTCAATGTAGTTGCACAAATGGATGAGGACTTTGCCATCACTTAAAATTTGGCCTGCAGCGTGGAAAGCACAAAAAATGAGGCAAACTATTAAAAGTGTTTTCTAAATACTCAAACAGAAGTGTAAGAATACCTCAAGTTTTTTACTAATTACACCAAGTTAGTAATGCTTAACACTTTTTCAAAATTAATTTAATTAAAACAGAGAAAATATTCTTCTGCTTGCATGCTGTATAAATGTAAAAGATTTAAGAAGGATATTTTTCAAAAGATACCGATAATCTGCCAGCAAGGGATGGATGCAAATGTAGTATGTTATACAAGATTTTAGGACTCTATAGAAAAATCTGTAGTTCCTTAGTACCCCAGACCTGCACACTCACAGGCATGTGTTGTCTCATTATGCATCTGCACATTCCTGGGAAAATCAGTACTGTTGGTTTTAACCAAATAGTAATGGCATAGTTCTTTCTATTTACTAATTATTACTGACCTTCACTTCCTTCGGAACTGCTTTAAGATTGTTGGAGGAAGGATGGAAAACATGGAAGATCACACAATAAGTACAGCTTAACACAATTTGTACATCTCACTGTATTTGTATTTAGTACATACATACATTCCTTTTTAACAGGGGCTGGCATATTTTAGCAAATTCAGTCTAAGCAGTTACTTCTGGTTTTAACAGGTCCATCACAGAACGTGCTGAGTTGGAAGAGCCCCACACTGTACCTGTCAGAAGATACTGTTTTTTGTTGTTGGCTTCTAATTTCACTCCACAGAGTGACGAATCAAAAGGGGTATAGACATACTGGACATCCTTGAGCTTTTCAAATCCTTTAAACATCTGAAATTTATTAGAAACAGAAAGTCAGTCATAGGAAAAGGACATGAAAAAACAGTTGAAAACAACAGCTGAAAGAAATACATGGTGAGTCTCTTTAAAGAAGGCTCCAAAGTCCAAAATTCTATGAGAAAACAGCAACAATTAGACCCTTTCAATTCACTGAATGAAACATTTCCAAGAGTTTTAGAAGGAAATTAGGTAGTTCTTCATTTTTTAAATTATAGGTTTTTAAATGTGCTTTTTCAGTGTTTTTAATGGATCGTTAAAGCTTTCCCTTCAATTTACATTCTACTGGCATCTTCCATTTAAGGAGCAGTGCAGAGACATCAATCATCTCAACCTTGGTGCTGCAGCACTGTAAAATGCAAATGTTTTTCAGTATATTAATATAGGAAATTTTCTCTTCATCAGTGTAATGATGGGTATCTCCTGGGATCTTAAACGTCCTGAGGAACTTAGTATTGTTCTTGTATTTGATCACTAAAGCAAGCTGGTTTCCCATATCCAGAATTCTGGTCCATGGGACCTTCTCAAATAACTGTTGGAAAATGGGATCCAGCTCTTAAAATTTACAGCCCCAAAATGGACAGATTCGGGATCAAAGCACTTTCCAGACTGGCTGCTCCTTAATCAGCGTTTTCAGCTGCAAAAAGAAACCTTAAATGAGCCATCAAAAGATGCAAACAAGTTTTGCTGTGTCCAAACGTGAGAAGGATCAGCCTCAGAAGGCTCAGCCTGTCATCACCTCCAGTGACATCACCAAGCCCAGCGGTCTGGGGTGACCTCATGCCACGTGTTGACAGCTGTGGACAATGGCAGGACTCACAGCTCCCCAGGGCAGCTCTCCCAGTTGCAGCTGCTGTCACTGCAAAATGTGTTTGTGTTACTCAAGTTCTCCCAGGAGATTTATATAGCACAGGGCACTAGAGAACACACTGTCATATGTTGGTTTTTCTGAAGCCTTATTTATGGAAGGGAAAAAGCCAAAGTTGTTGTCACTGGGCTTCTGATCCAAAAATATTAAATGGGATTTGAAACACTTAGTAGAAAAAAGCAAACAGACCAAACGAAAGCAAAACAAAACAAACTGGTATCTTGTACAGAGCAGCAGAGAAAATCACAAAACCCCTCTAAAATTATGAGGAAAATGTGCCTAATTTTATTAGGGTAAAAGTAGTCTGGTGTGGCAGCCCAGTACAGAAGTTCATCCCTTGATCTCAAGTAACTTAAGAGGCATTATGCAGGCAACACAAATTGATTTATTTATTAACTCCCCCTCCCCAACAAACATAGCAAAATATAATAGAGATCTAGCTAATATTTAAATGAGGTTGATGTTTGTTTTGTTGCAGGATTTTTGGTTGCTTGGTTGGGGTTGTTTTTTTGAAATTACAGTCTAACTTATCTTAGGTTTTGACCTATATATTTGTTAAAGCATTTATTAAGATTATAGTCTTCTGCTTAACTCAGTAAATCGTATTTGATCTTCTCAATCATACTCTCTCATCTCCTGAAAGCGTGGATTTGTCTCTGTGGTTTGATTTCCATTCTGCACATTTGGGCTCCTGACAGGACTTCACTGCAGTAGGAAAATAGGGTGAGGAACTGGGAGAACAGAGGGATGTGAGCCTGGTGCCAACATCTGTCTTTACACTGTCCCTGTCCTCCTGAGGGGGTTAACCAAGACCAGCACACGGCCAGGGCTTTAAAACTTTAAAATACTCTTTTTTTAAAAACCCTCTATATTCCTTCCAGTGTCTCAAGGATGTCCCGTTACAATAATTACATTGCATCTTCTTTCTTCTTGAAGGTTTTTCAACTATATCATGGCTTATTTTCTTAGGTTTATATAGTGATTATTTTCTGGTTTTAATACTGCAGGTGTCACTGTAAAGTGTAGATACCTTTATGTTTAGCTTGAATATCTCTTCATATTCCCACAGGGAGTGACACTCCCCCCACCTTGGAAAAGCGGTCTGGTTCTGTCAGAGGGTTTCCATCCATGCATCTCATGGAAAATACTTAGCAATTTTGTTTAATTTGGTAAAAAGTGTTGGTTTCATGTATATACTCATGGCACTGTTTTAATGTTTAGCTGGCTTCTCAGAGCAAGTGTGATGACCCAGTCAGTCACAGTAATATTATACAGACAAATATTCAATTGCATATAAATCATGTTATCTCCTCTCTTTAGTGTAATGCTGTAAATAAGAACAGTAATTGAAAAAAATTATGGCTTCTCAATATGCCAACCCCTCTCTATAAAATTAATAAACCCCATTGTTATTATTTCTGAAAATAATATCAAAATATTTCATATTTCTGACTAAAATAGCAATGTTTTCATGTGAAGCCTGATGCACTGGATTTAAAATAAGAGGAATATAATTTCTGTAGCAGGGTTGCCATAAGCAAGCCACACGATTGTTACATGTCAAACAGCCCAGAGAGCCCAGAGCAGAGAAACAGCAGCGTTTTGCTGAATTTTCACTTGCAGTAAAGTGCAACCTTCATAGGTTCTGTGTTCCTTTTCCCAGAGGGGAGAAGAATTGATGAGGGAAGTGTGAATATGTGAGTAGCCTAAAAAGAATTCACCAAACTCACGTGGAGTTGATAATTGTATTTTAAATTGTATTTTAGCACCTTTTAGCTCAAAAGAGATGATTAGAGAATCTGTTCTTCCTTTCTGTGCTATATAAAGCAAATTCTCAGCCTGTCCCCCATCCTGCAGATGTTACTGCACAGGATTAGCCACAAGCCCGTGGTCAGTGTCACTGGCCATTCCAAGGGCCCTGCAGTTTGTCCTGCAGGTCATCAGAAATGGCTCTGTAGCACAAGAGAAGAAAGACTGTAACAGTGAACAGAGAATATTCCACCCTCTGACAGGCACTGCTGATTTAGATTCTTTTAAATCTTACCAGCTGGGGTGAGAAATGGTTGTGACCAAGGGAATTGCTGTAGCCAACAAGTTCTCAGTTACCCAGGAACTGAGATCCACCTGTGGCCACCGAGCCTCCATTTGAGGGTCTCTGACAAGCTATTCCTGTGCTGTTACTGGTCACGTGTGAGCTGTCCCACTCCGTGGAGATGGCCAAATCTGGCTGGCTTGATACACCATTGTATTATTTTAATTGATTATTTTACATTTATCAAATGTTTACAGGCATGAGCTATTTAAAATTCCTCACTCTTTTTACTTTTGTGACATGGTGAGGGCTTTACAGTGTAAACAAATTTCTGTTAAACTTCTGTTCATTTAAATGTATTTCTCAGTAATTTTTCACTGTGCTCAGTCCAGTTCAGTTTTCACCCACACACCAGCTCTGATGACATGCTCAGAATGTAACAGGTTGCCTCCCTCTCTGTCACTCTGCAGGATTTATCAGGCACAGTTGCCTGTAGGGGCTTATTTCAGTTCCACAGAGGATGGGCAGCCACAGAGCTCCTGTGTGGTGGAGATTTAAACCAAAATCCTCCAGGGATGGGTCCCAGGGCAGCTGAGTGCCAGGCTTGGCTCCTGCCTCCTCTGAAACTCCTCTGGCCAGAGCAAAGAATCTGAAGGGTGGGACAATTCTGCCCCATTTGTTGTTAGTCTAATGTTTCATGTAATAATGTAGAGCATCTTTTATTAGAAAACAGATCTCTTTGGTTTGTCCAGTCATAGTCGACTTGCCCTCTGAAGCTGACTAGAATTAAATAAACATCTCTAACTGATGCTGAGTTTTGAAAAATAGGGAGAAACTCCAAAGTAGCTTTGATATCCAAATGTATTTCAGATTTCAGTGTACTGTTACTGAAGAACAGGATTATAGACTGAAAATAATCAGTCAGGCTAGACTTCTGGTTGTTCTTGTTTGTGCTGAAGTGTAAGATGATTTGCATTTCTATCAAGTTACTGAAGTGCTGCCGAGTAGCAATAGAACATTGAAGTGCTAATGGGGGAAGGAGAATTCCTCTGGTATTTATGCACTTATTTCTGTTAAGAAACATTTGAATATATCCTTAATATTTAAGAAGACAGAAAGTGGCAGATGGTAAAGAGCTTTGGAGTTTGTTTTAGCAGTGTAAATACTGGCTTGTTGAAATCGCTATAAAACCTTAACAGAAGTTGTGTGTGATAACCATCCTTGTTTACTGTAGATTGTTCTTAGTTAAACCCCCATAAGGGGATCTATTGATATAGCTTGAATGATTGAATTTTCTTTCAAAAGCACATAGCCATTCATAAGGATTTTCTTAAGTGTTCTTAGTAAATGGAAAAGTGCAAATAATATAAAATAATATTCAGTGAAAAATGAGAGGTGAAACCACGTGGAAAACAAACCACCCAACCAACCAAACCACCCCACTAATGCACACTCACACAGGTAAGTTTAGAGAGAATGGTTTTTGTGTATTCCAGAAACAGGTAGATCATGATTATTTTAACATCAGTGAGAGTTCAGCAGTGATATGTCTTCTTAAAGTGCATTAATGAATATATCCCCTTATTGGAGCTGAACAAATAATGGAAAAATCCAGTGAGATTCTGAATGACTGTGTCTTTGGGTGCTCCCACTTGGTGTTTGCTCCCCTAGCAACGTTCCTAAAAATGGAGTTTGGTTTATGTGAATATGAGGGAAGGACTCCTGTTCCTGCAAATATCCCTACTCACTGTGGACAAAGGGCCTTGCTCTTTCAGGCTCTTTCCAAGTCTTCTTAAAATAATTGTGAATAATAAAATTTTCATCAAAATATCATTATTTGACAAATAGCTCTTGAATTCAGAACAGCTTTCTTTGCCTTTTTTCTTTTGCCTTTTTTTTGAACCCTCCTTTGATTTATTCTGTGTAGTCCACCCAGGTCTAACTGTGGAGGCAGCTGGAGCCTTTTTCAGCTTCCAGCATTTTAGGCTAAACTAGTCCTATACAGAGGTTATCACCATTGGATTTCAAAAGAGCAGAGTGATTCCATGTACCTTTATTTGTTTGATTTCATACCGGATCATTTTGTGAGTATCAAGGGGATCATCACTGGCAGGAACCACCTTTTCGCTGGATATTTTTGCTCGAATCACTGTAATAGAGAGAAAGATTTAAATGCAAATAAGCACATGCCTCGTTTTGCAAGCAAAAATGAAAATTATCTTGATAGATTTTAGCATTGTTTTGACACTTTAACTAGAATTAAGGCTCTTACTATGAGATCGCTCCCTTAACTCCTGAAAATAAAAGTAAATGGGCTGCCTGTGATGTAAATCTGAATTCCCATGAATCTGGAAATATGATTGATGTTACCACTCAGTTTTGACAAAAACTGTCCATCAAAATCTTTGAAGACTTGAATCCCATAAAAATTTACAAAATACCCATCATTATAATCAGTGTGGAAAGGGACACTTATCTTGATGACTGAAGAATTGTTAATCAATTAAATAGGCTTGAAGTAGCATTGAAAGCCTGTGCCAGACAAAATGAAAGCATTGATTTTATGCATGAAATTAGAAGTCAAGAATAGAGTTTTATTCACTTTTCTGAAGTTAACAAAGCACATCACCAGTTGTGTAAACCTGTATAAATCAGTTCCTCCCTCTTCTGACACACTTTATTTCCTGTTCTTTAATCAAGGAAAGTATGAGATTTAATGAAAGAAGAAACTGAGTGCTTTCCTCTCTTTGTTTGGGGCATCTCTCTTGTATATGATGTTTAAAACATACCAGGACTATCAGGCACAGTGAATAACAAGGTTCTAAGAGTATGGTATATGGCCAAAATTCCTCTGGGGACTTCTATCCCCCAAAATTATTGAGCGTCCTGTTTTTGCTCCATTCTGTATGGTGACTGCTGCAGCTCCTCTGCAGATGAGGGGCTTGTAAAACAAACAATCTGTGCCTGCATGGACGCAGACTGGCAAAGGCCACAGTAGAGGAAAATTTCTGTGACATTAAAATCACACTTTTCCAAAAAAAACACCCCATTTCTTTGATAGATTGACCTCATATTTATCACATCTAACATCATATCTAAAGAAAAAGAATAAAAAACACAGGTTGAAACCCAGCCAGGTAGAGATCAGTCCCACCTAATCACGGGCAATTCTCATTTCCTTGCTTATTAGCAGAGCAAAGTAGATGTAATGACCAACGTGATGCAGATGCCTGCAGCTTCAAAGCTCAAGTCCCTCTATCTTTTGGCACCGTGATCCCTCCTCCCAAGCCATTTAAATTCTTTTTAAGGCACATTTTAGACTTATGGATTGGAAGGAAGGAGTTCTTTCAAGTCTGAGCAGCAAATTCCTCATTTCACATGGTAAGTGGCAGCGTCTCTTTAATCATCTGCAGATGTGCTGTGTTCCCACAAATTAACAGTGTGTCTTCAAAGCTTTGATCTAATTCCAGAGGAAAAGTGTTGTGGATTGTGTGTACTACAAATTAGAATCATGTTTTGTTTTCTTTCCATCATTACTACTTAAAAGAAAGTTTTCTCATTAAAGAGTCTGTTCAATATCGAAGGTAAGGGCTGAGAAAACAGGATTGAGCTCAGGATTATTTTCCCAGTACCATAACATGGTTTATATTCAGGAAATTTTTTCCTGCCTACTCAATGCAAACATTTTTAGGATAATTAAAACTACGTTCTCCCTTGTGTTTGATGTTGAAACATTACTAGTTTTCATATTTTTATTAAATTCTACTTGTCTGAGTAGAATCTGAGAGGAACTTTACAGATGATCACTGATAGCTGCAGGAGTCTCCAAGGAGTTGGGAGAAGCTGAAACTAATATTCTGAGGCTTGTCATTAAGAAATGTGTAGGGGAAAATGAAGAAGAAGAAAATTCTACTGGATGTGTAGAAGAAAACAAAAAGTATTTTTGTGTTGTGTGTGTTTCATTCATTTATTTGTTTAACAGAAAGCTTCTGGATGGCAAAGGAAGACCAAATTGAGCTTTTGATTTTTAATTTTTTATCAGTAAAAAAGTTTTATTGTTACAGGATGTCTAAATTTTTAGTTATTTGGATTTTACTCTTCTGCTCTCCTGAAACCAATTCAAATTCACACAGATCTTTTGGGGCCTTATAATCCTTCTTGGGTTTCTTTTTTTCTGTGCGTTAATATTTTTTTGCAATCAGCGTCGTCTAGCTGTCTCCTGAAACCTCTGATTCATGTGGTTGCTTCTGTTTTTAACCACAAGCACTTCCTGATGGAGCATTCCTGGGCCTGGCCATCTCCCTCTCCTTGCTCGTGGTGCAGAGGGTGGTCGGGGCTCAGGATTCCTCGGAGTTTGCACTTCTTTTCAAGACACGGTTTCAAGTATTCCGTGGCTGTCTTGGCTTCTCCTCTGTGTGAATGAGAACAGCCTCTGGTTGTTTGGTGTAATAATATCATTTCTCTGGCAGGCAGTTATTGATTCCTTATGAGGAATTTGCATATATGGAACACACATCCATAGCCTTGACATTCCAGTGCCAGGAATCCCATTGGCCTCAGATTCCTTCAGCACTGAAAATACAGACTGTTTTGCAAAAGAATTCATCCTGATGTTTCAGTAGGAGGATGTAGCTTTCCTGTGGAATTCATAATTTAAACTTTTCTCCCCACTCTGTAGCTCAGATTGTCTCAGGGAACTGAAGTGAGAGGGAGTTAATGTGAGTTGCAGCAGAACAGTGCTCTGGTTAGTGAATCAGCCCGCCTCTTGGGTAGTCAGTATTACAGATGTGTTAGGAATATATTTATTCCTTCTTTCCTCAATAATAATAAACCTCTTACAGCCACTTCTACATCCATGAAAGGTCATTCTGAACTGGGTAAAAGACAGAACTTACTTGGTATAACATCAGATATATTTGTGTTTAATACAGCCAGGAGAAAAGGGTTGAGGTTTATACAATCCAAAATTGTTTATATATAATAAGAGTAGGAAGACATTAAGTGCATCTTTCCCAAGCCTGGGGGATTTCCCTCTGAAATAAGCTACACTAATTAATACCTGTAAAAAAATGGTACCATCACTTTGTTATGTTAGAGATTTCTATGATCAGGAGGAAGTACTTACACTAAGGCCTTTTTTGTAAGAAGTTCACTGCCACAAGACTGATTTCACCCCAATTGGCAAAGACAATGAAATATGATGGAAGAGAAGACACAAAGAACTGGAGGGCCCATCCCAAGGCACAGATAGAGCTGGAATCTGAACAAAGCAAATCCTTGCACTTTGTCCACTGAAATTCATATGTCCCCTAAAAGTGGTATCTTTTTAGACTCTTGGGTTATTTCTAAGGCAGTAACAGAGGGAAAACTCTTGATTGAAGAACTACCGTCATTGTTACAAGTTAGTATTATGAAATAATATATTCTGTATTATAGTATTTTATATAGTATTAATGTACTTAAACAAGTGGTAAGATTATGTTCCTTAAACTACTGGTCACAGTCCCAGTGTTTGAAGACAGGCAGCTTTACTCAACTAAAATAATCATTTATATATTGGGATAAACTACTTGGGAATACCCAAAGCCTGCAGTACTGTGGTGGTGGTGGTGCCACAAGGTCATGTTGCAGCCAGAACAAAACTCAGCCAAGAGTTGCCTGTTAACAAATCCTCACAAGCAAAGGACAGGGGATTGCCTTCAGGTGTTTGCTGTAGGATTAAAAGAAAAAAGAAGTTTTATTAACACCCTGTCAGTTGTTGTGTACAATGCTGAAGTTTGTGTATTCCGTAAGAGAAGACTGGGGACAAATCTGATAATGAGATTTCCAGCAGTGCCCATCTTCAGTCTGGGAGGTGAATTCATTCAGAGAATTCAGTGTGAGGCCAGAGGGAAACCTTGAAGCCCCAGGAGGAACTGTAATTCATTCCTCCTTGTCACCAAGTAGCTGCTCCAGGGGCAGTGCCTGTGTTCAGCATTACCCCGGCCATCATCTCTGAAGGCAGGCCAGAAATTTAAATGTGAACAACCAGAAAGCAAATTAACTAAAAATCTGTGGGCAGAACTGGCCTCATCTACTGTATTCACCTAAAGTCAAGTTATGGTAAAATAATGCAAAGAGCCCCAGAAAAACTCCATGGAGGGGGTACAGCCACACTATTTCATTGACCTTATTTGCATCTAGAGGCCACAGATACTGTAGTATCCATAATACAGTCCAGGCTCAAATACTCTTGGTCTCTTGAAGAAGAGGACTGGCAAGAAACACTCTCAGAGTTGCCAAGGAACCCAAGAACACAATGTGGAATACTTGTGTTTCATGACTACAGAGATATGACCAAAAAAATTTATTCTTTAGACAGGAAACTAGACTTTCCTGCAGAGAGGGAAAAGAGTCAGCAGGCAAGGAGAATGAATGATCAGCCTCAAAAAAGAACAGGAATCTGCACAGAATTTGTCACAACAAACAAATATTAATGAACCCACTTAAAGCAATACTACACAAGATAGAATAGATAAAAATCTTGGATAGTAAAATATGGTCTATTGGCCACTGATTTGTATTGCCTAAAAAATCCTACAATATAAGAAGTTGTAAGAAGAGCCTTTTTCTGTAATTTAGAGCAACTCCCCTTCTGTACAGCGTTACCATTCCCCTTTCTCTGCCATCTATTTGACTGAACATGCTCAGTTGTTCACACTTCCTTGCCACATTTGCTTATGGTATTGAGTTTCACCAATGACGAAAGCAAATTAACCTGCTTAAATATTCATGTACTATGTATTCATGGATATGGAAAATATTTTAATTTCTCAAAATACATAAGAAAGGAAGAAAGAGGCATTGACAATACAGAAGGAGCATCATAACTGCTTGAAACTCATAGGTATCACTAATGCTACCAAAAGAAGGCATTTGTTCAAAAGGAGGCAAAAGTTATGAACTGGCTGACATTAAAATAAATAATTTAATACCCAATGTATACCTTTATTTACACACTGATATTTTTAAAGCAGATTATTTTAGAGACTTAGAAATTTGGGGGAGAATTAAGGTTTTCTTACACTTGTGTTTCAGTGTTTGATTTGCCTGTGTTGGCTTCCAGAAGGATTGGCAGTAGAGCCACGCCAGTCATTTGAAATCTCTACC